CTCCTTGGGGCCCAGGAACTGCATCACCAGCACACAGAAGAGAGGGGAGAGGGAGACCTTTAGGGCCCAAACTAAAAAGAAAAACATTATTATGGAGTGTAAATTATTGAGAACAGCCCCAGGCCAACAACAGTTACTGTCTTAATAGGTATTAACATGTGGTGGAAGCTCATACTAGCTGGTCTTAATATATTATCTTCTAATTGATGGCACTTAGGAGACCCCTAACATGTAATAGGAACTTAATAATTGAGAGTTATGACTAAGATGTATCCTCAAGGAGTCTTCTATCTATGGAGGGGGCAAACATGTAAATAGGCTACAACCCTTAGTCACGTGTGTAGGAGAGCATGGTTGCTGTTCTGATCCAGGTTTCTTCCTGATTTCCCTCTGCATGTCACACATTGTTCTCATCTGCACTGGGATGTTGTTTCATGTGCCAGAGCCCTCAGTTCTATAATATTTGCTGGCAATTTTATTCCGTACTAGTGTGACTACTTAAAGTGAAGTGCAGAATTTTTACCTGTTGTGTTACTAAGGAAGCTTTACTTTCTCCCATACTGTCCACAAAACAACTTCTGCCAATTTTATTCTTGGTGGGATGGGTGACTCGGTTTTCGAGGTGCCGCAGTGTGCCGTCTCTCTCCACTCTGCAAGCACTTTGTTCTTTGGACCACTGTCCTGGTCCTGCCCATTTTGTATTCTGATTTTGCTAGCGTTGTTGCAGTAGGATGTTTTGGAAAACATCCTTTTGTTAGAAAAAGTAATTTCGTAATGGGAGTGAGAATATGCATGTCTTTAAGCTTCAGCCCTCTGGTGGTCTAAGTATAGAGTTTTCTTTAAAAGCATCACAAGCTTGGAATCATGTGAGTGACTTGTCATCAAATGCAAAATCGGCTACGGAGCTGTCACCAGAAATTTTTGCTTTGCAGTTTTTCCAACATAGTTCTTTCTCTAAGTCAGGGTTTCTCAACTTCAGCACTGTGGACATTTTGGGCTGGATGATTCTTTGTTGTGCGGAGTGTCCTGAACATTGTCAGCTGTTCAGCGGCATCCTTGGTCTCTACCCACCGAAGGCCCATAGAAATGGCCTAGTATGGACAACTAAAAATGTCTGCAGACATTTTTGCCAAATGTCCCCTCTGGAGGGCCAAATCACCCTGAGTTGAGAACTGCTGCTCTAAATAACAAACACTGACAAGTTATAAAATGTGTTGACAAGCAAAGCAAAAAACATTCATGATAATGACAGCAAATACTTACAGAACACTTAACATGGGCCAGGCACTGTTTTAAGAGCTCTGCTCATATAAGGAACCAAGCCCGTAGAGTGAGGTATCATTGTACCATTATTAACCACAATTTAAAGATGAGGAAACTGAGGCACAGAGAGGTCATGCAGCTGCCGTCAGATCAAGAATCCGAACCTAGGCATTGTGACCCTAGAGTCACTGATTTAAATTTACTGTGCTTTTCTCTCAACACCAATTGGAGTAGACACTTAGCTGGCATAGCAAGGGATATTACCGCTGGTAGGTGCTGAGCAAATAATCTGGTAAATGAATAAATGACTGTATACATCTGGAAAATTATTTAATGTTTTAAGTCAGTATTGAATAGATTTCTTTAGTTAAGCAAAAAAAATACATTTTTCATAGAATGCAATCAACTAAATATTCCCAGAGCAAAGCAGAGAGTCTCTTAGCATGTCTAAATCCAGTCACAGGAATCTTTTGGAAAAAGTTTGTCAAGGTGACCTTGAAAGTCTTCTAATCTGAGCTTCTATTTTTATGCTCATGAAGTTTTATATGTCAGAATGAAGACTGGTCAAATTAAACAAAACATTATTTTCCTGATGAGAGTAAGCAAAACGTCTGCTATTGCCCTATAATAAGGAAAAAGACTGAATTAGTTCTCCCTCCTAAACTAGTTGGGTTCTGATGAGGGATGATGCACTGGATGATAGTATGACCTAGCTTCAGGACTTACAAAACATTAAGCATCTTTAACTAACAGGAAAACACTTTAGCCGATCAATTTTCAGAATTCCATAGTTGGCTTCCTATAACAGATAAGAGGGCTGGGCTCTAAAGTTTCTTACAAATGCACTGTGTCTGATTTATATCTGAGCAGGAAGCCTGTATTTTACATAATAAAATATAAAAACAGTATTCTGTTCTTCTTAAAGATATTTTAAATGTGCATTGCTGTAGGGCATAAGAATGGAAACTTCCAAAGTGTTAATTAAAATGTTACAAAAATAGCAATAAATAAAATATATCTATAAAATAGAAAAAAGACAACTTATTCACAATAGCTTAATCTTGCCAGTTTTCTGAAAACCCATATTATGAATAATTATTTTACTCAGTGAGACCATAAGTAATATATTTTCTTTTTTGTTTAGATGATCTTTTAAAAAATTGAATGGCTTCATTTTTTTCTTAGTTCTGAAGAAGTCAGTTATTTTAAGAACAATATTAGGAAATGTCCCAAATGTCTTTTCATGCAAGAAGATCTTCCAGATACCATGTAATAAGAGGGATGGTATAACCAATATATTTTATCTTCTTCAGTGATAGGAAGGGATACTTTTGTTGCCTGATCTAGACTGTTTGCTTACAGCATTAGAATTTAGGATTTCTATTAAAAGATCTTACCACATGGTAAGTAATCATCACCTCCCACACAGTCTTGATGCAGAGCATTACTTTGCTATCAGCATTTAGGGTAGACTGATATCTAAATTTGTGGATTACTCTATGTTCCAGTATATAAAATGGCTAATGAGTACACAGAAGTCTCCTGGAATGGTAGGGTCATTCAGGTATTGCTTTTTATAAATGTGAAATTTTTAAAACTGCAGAAAATAAAACTAAGCAAAATAGAATTACAGTAAAGCCTTGGATTGCGAGTAACTTGGTTTGTGAGTGTTCCACAAGATGAACAAACATTTCTAATACATTTTAACGTGGTAAACAAACAATGTCTTGCAATACAAGCAGTTTGTTTCTGGAACAAATTATGCTCGTAATCCAAGGTATTACTGTACTCAGAAAATAGAAAGTGACTTTCTTAAGGTTGTTTGGAATTGTTCTCCCAACTGATGGCCAGACTCTGCTTCTACCATATCGAGCTCCAAAGTTGCCAGAAATAACTCAAAGCACCGAGTTACTGGAGGCTTATTTAGTATGTTTTATGAAGCTATCTACAAAAAATAGTGTGACTGACAATTGTAGGACAAGCAAAGATCTAAGCCTTCATTAGCATATAAATGCCACTCAGGTATAGTTTACGTGAAGGTAAAAAATGATGACTGGTCCAGAGCACACTTTTCCATGACCAGGATTATACAACAACAAAAAATGTTTCTGACATGAGTAGAAAGTCAGTAATCCTGATTCTGGAAGAGTACCTTTCCAAATGGTTATATCATCAAGTAGTTTATTCTTCCACCAAAATCTGGTTCATATACATTGTCCCCCTCTTATGAGATTAATAATACTATATAATTGCATTTCATGTTTGGAAAGAAACTTTTATAAGATCCTGAAAAGCATATCTATTATTTCATATATTGTATCTATTTTTTGAAAGTGGGAACATAATGTACATTATTTACATAGTAACTAAATGGCTGCTCTTTCTACCCGGGCTTCTAAGTGGTTACAGATATTACTTTTGATTCCATGGTTATGATAATGAACTTTGTTACAATGGAGAGGCATTGGGATTTAATCTCATTACACATTAAAGAAGGAAGACAGTAGGAATTCCTATGTTTTACTCAGCTGTTGAATCTGAAAAACATAAGATCTGAGAGATGTGTAAGTCATGGAGAGAACCTAATCCTGAAGATAGAACTCATTTGTAAAAAAAAAACAAAAAACCTGCATTACTCATAATGATCTTCTCAGAAGTAGAATTTTGCAGATTGGGATGGGAGGTGAATTTTAAGCCATCAACCATATTATAAATTACTCTATTATATAAATCTTTTGTTGGTAGAAGTAAATTAGACAATGACATATGAAATGAATACTAAAAGAGCAATGTTCAAATCAGTGTTGCTATGATGAAATTATCATTTTTGCCCAAGTGCAAATATACTTGTATAATTTCCTGTTATACGTGAGGAATATGTGACTTATTTAATGGGTAATTGGTACTAATTTCATAGATTCAGAAAAGAGTTCTGTGAGTAGCAACTGCTGACCATTATTGTCCGTCATTTTTCCCTCATTTAAGATCATGGTATATTTTCTCAGGGAGAGGAAATTATATTCATTTTGCTTCTGATCATTTTAACAGAATTACAGTTTGGTCATGGAAAAAAAACCCTGAAATTTAGGGACTACTTTTGTATTTTCTTTTTATTTTAGTTAGATATCTAGTTCTACCTAGTACAGAAATTTGGGAATTAATGTGATTAATAGAAATTTTGATAACTACGTATATGTTGCATGTAAAATAGTTATAATGTAGTAGTGACCTCTTAGTTCATATACGTATATTTTTTTCAAGATGCAGACATTTTGCTGAGAATTTGATGCAGGGTCAATTTTTCTATTATTGAATATACCTACTCAACATGTATTTCTTAACAAAAGGGAACAGTGCTCCCAAGTGCATTTCAAATTATTTCTGTTAAGTTCTGAAGTTACACAGTTTTAAATCCTTGGAACACATACGGTAATTCTCTTTCTCATAAGTAAAACCCACCAAATAAAGTTGTCTAAATAGCTCAGCATTGTCATCTACCACTTTTTGATAGCTTGAGAATGTTACACCTTTGCCAAAAACTTTTTTAAAACATCAGCGTCAGCTCTCGTATACAGGACTTTGGTTTGTTCTTATTTTAATGTTTTCCCTAGTTACAGGTGCATGCTTCAACTTGCCATTGTGGTTCGTTTCATTCAGCTTCTTGTTCTATCTGCTTTCTTGAGACTTGGGAAACAGTATTTTTCTGAGTGATTGTACTATATTGTTCCAAATATAAGGCCACCCAGAATAGAAGGCAACCTCCAACTAGAAACAGCTCAAATATGGAGAAAGGCTGGGGGCCCAGAGCCCAGCGGGTCTTGCAGTGGTGGCAAGGGTGCCGAGGAATAGGACGATGCCTGCCCGCTCTCCCGGTGAGTGAAGATGAGTCAGCGGCTGCATTTGCTTGTGCATAACCAGATGGCTTCTGTTGCTAGAGGAAAAGCTGTACTGGGGGGGTCCAGGACAAGTCTGTACACATGAAAGAAAGTTGCTGTGTATCTAAAGCTGGGGAGGGAAGTTGAGAGTAGAGTCTTTCAACTCCTCAACAGTCATCTCCAGTGGATCCCGCCCCCCCCAGCCCCTCTGAACCTGAGGGTGAAAGTTGAGTAACTCCAAACACTGGAGAAGAACAAAGGTACCCTGCATCTTTCATAAAAGGGAGTTTTAAAGGCCGGTGGCCATGGAGATGAGTTGTTAGACACCACCAGGTGTCTCTAGACCAGCCCAGAAAATTATTCCTTGCCCTTTCCAATTGACCGCTGACCCAAGAGACAGTGCTGTGTGATCCCATGGAGCTTGAAAGAATCCACCCTGAAGCTGGGAGTCACATTTCCAATTTTATTAAGATTTTCTTCTTTTTAAATTGCCTGTCTCCTGAGCCAGCCAAGTTACAATTTAAATAGACAGACTTACTCTTATTGAAATAAAGTCCAAGAGACTTTTTAAAATCATTTGTTGTATTTCACTCAGCACATTAAAAAACCAATACTTCAGTAAAACTATTAGTCAACTGAGAGTAGGTATTGATGGAACCTAGATAATTCTCCAAATATTGGTCTGATTCTACTAAGCACATAGAAATCTAACCTTTCATTTTATAGTAACTAAATGAGATGTGATCGAATGAGGTGCTTGATTCTGTTATAATCTAGAAAACTGTTTAGCACCTGTTCGTGCACAACTTATCCAGACATTTGGTTACCTTTGTGGCCTCACAAAAATCACATAAAACATGAATCTTGATCTTTCTAGTGATTACTAGTTCATGGCTTACAAAGCAAATTAGAAGTAGAACTTAAATCCCTATATGTTAAGTTTTTCTCCACTGTGTAGTTCCTATTGTAGTTATTATTATTATTAAGGAAGCTTCTTTAATAAAAGAATGTTTGCTGTTTTCTTAACAGATAAAGGTAGAAAAGAACACCCCTTAAGTTTAAACAATGCTAAATTGTCCAGGGATTTGGTTTCAGGAAGCTACCTATTATTGATTTCAGAAATTCTCTTAAACCAGAATACCCTGAAAAATAGAGGCCCAATGCCCAAGCAAAATCATGTTAGGATTGATACACCTACCATTTTCCCTAAGTCTAGGAAGGGAACCTTTGAAACAGGAGGGCTGGGCAGAAAGGGGTTTGAGAGAAAGAACTGGAAGGAGGGTGGCCCAGAGCCGGAAGTTAGATTACCAGTCAGAGGAAAGATGGCTCTGCAGTGGTGGGTCCAAAATGAGAGGGTTGTTTGAACTGCATAACCTCAGAAGCCTTTCACAAGAGTTCATAAAGGTGGTCATAGTAGGGAAAGGAAATAGTAGAGAACCAGAGCTGTGTAGGGAAGAAGAACTTCCTTTATAAGGCCTTCATTTTGGAAACATTTTATCTCTAATAGAGGAAAAGAGTGTCCAAACTTTGATGGTGGATTTGGAGGATGGATGTGCCCATTAACCATCTTTAAACTTCAAATAGTTTTCCTTCTATTATTTGTATGGTGTACTATTATGTCTGATTTGCTCTGAATTGCAAATACAGGAAAACAAACCTTACAAATATTTTTTTTTCACAGAGAGACTTGGGGCTATTATAATTGGTTGTCCTCACCTGCTATTAATTTAATCACTAGTAGCAATGATGAACAGAAACTAGAGAGGTCACCTAAATGTCATATTCTGTGGCCAGTTCTCTGTTGGCTTCTGAGGTGGCAAGGATAACCTTCAAGGACATAAGAAGTGACAGTAACAAGAGAAGGGAGAAGATATTACAAATTGCATACATGAGAATTTTTGTAAAAATCAATGGGAATTGTCAATTTCTCTAAAAATAGCATGGTTTGCATAAAACCCATACCTAAAACCGTTGAGGCACTCACCTTATCCTTCCCATCCCTAAAATGCACAACATAGAAGCTCTCCTATAGATGCAGGAAAATAAACGTCCCAAACTATAGTTGTTTCTTCCCTTTGTGAATCCATACTTGATGCTCCTTTCGTGGTTCCTTCTCAGGGGATTAGATTCACAGGATCAAGATAAATGGAGCAGTTATTAATCTATCAGGCATGAAAATCATCTGCAGATTGGTTGATGGGCAGAAATTAAAATCTCTCAGGCCCTCTGTGTATAAAGATCTACATTAAAACAGGTTCGAATATTCCCATTAGACTTCTTTTCTAGTAGGGTAGATAACTGCTGCTCTGTTTCTTTCCTGATCCCTTAGTCTTTCTCCAAGCAATCCCTAGGAAAAGTGTAGTTTTTATTTTTTCCCAGTTCCTATATGGGTGACTGACTCTCACAGGTCAAATTAGTAACGCCTAGGTTCTGATTTCTCAGCAATTAAGTTTTAGAGTCACTAAACTACAAATATGTAATTTCTGATCTACTTTGCTTTTCATTTTTAAAATGACCACAAAATACTAAATTTGGTTAAAGCTCTTTGGAGTATGTTCCACTATAGGTCTTTCCCTCAAAGAAGGGTTTTATAAGAGACACAGTTTCTCCAATGCAAGAATGTGATGTGTCTGCATTTTCTGAGACATATGGAATGTGGCATTTGTCTTGCTGAATGAGCATGTTTAACTCAGCTGTGGAGTAACTCACAAATTCCCTACTCTTGAGTATCTTTAAGTTTCAAAAATCACTCTTGAAATGTTCTTAACGGCCATTCCTCAGGGGGCATTGCTCTCTTTGGTAAATCAGAAATGACACCTGGACATGCATAGAGAGAGTTTTTGGTTGACTTTTCTTGCTGGTCAACCAGCAAGTATATTTTAATTAATAGGTTGATAGTATTGTAGGGCAGGCTCAAAAAACTGAACAAAATGGCTAATTCTCGTGTGACAGTGCAATTGAATATTGAATTACATCTATGCAGTTATAAACGACTTTTGTTTTAATAACAAAGTTGTTGATTTTCTACTAAGGGTTCTTTTAGGTTGTCATCAGGGGCTGATGGGAATAACAGTTCACCCAACTCTCCAGCTAGCTTCAGTGGACATACCACACCTTCTCAGCAGCCTGAACCCGTGGTACATTCTCTTAAGGTAACCAACTGTGTACAACCATTTATCCAGAAATTCAGTTGTGTTGTGGCTTGTTTGCTGTAGTATGGTAGTCCTCACAGTCTTGTTTTAACCATAGATACTTTGTTTTTTGACCCCTTGTGGTATAACTTTATCTAATTTTTAAAGTATGATTTTAATCTTTTAAATTAACAATGGGTTTGGGTACTTATGGTTGAATCTCTAGTGTTATCATTTTGTTTTGAGTAATGTGATTCATTATCTGCATCAAAGTTGAAGTCCGATGTGCATGTGTATTCATTTGTGTAAAATATTGTTATAAGTATTGTATGTGCAATGTTTGTAGCATGGATGTCATCAAATATAGGGAGTTGGCCAGAAGAAGGAAAGATACCATATTTTTCTTTATGCAATTGATGTATACATTGCACAGCTTACTAAAAGACAGTATTGAAATAAGCAAAAACCTGCTCTATCCTCTACTAAATAGAAAGTAGGTCTTCAAACTCTAGTTAATGCTCCTTTAGAGGGATTAGAAAATAGATATATGGTCTTGTTCATAAAGCTATTTAATTTTCGGCTTTTACTTCAGATTCTGCAAAGACTTCAAGAAAAACTTGGCTGAAATTTAGCATTTCATTTTCTTTACCAATAATAAGCTTTCCAATAAATTAAGTTAATAAGTGTCATATATAACATGAATGATAAGCAATATAAATATCTAAAAGAAACTGATGCAGTTATAAAAATCATCTTAAAATTGAGATAGTTCCTTGAAGTTTTATCAATTTCCTGAAACATGTCCTTCACATTATCTATAATTCCTAACATGTAGCCTTGATGAAACTTTGAGCCCTGAAGTAGGTAGAGTGCTTCAGTCCTGCACTTGCCACATGAGTGTCACAACTTCTTCAAAACTGTTTTTGTTTTAAAATGATTTATTAACAGCCTGAAGATGCATTCTTTTGGAGTGGGCCACACTTTCCCTGGCATGCATTAAGCAAATAAAGTAGATGAGAACTTCATAATATTTATTTGATTAGAGTATGGTTTGGTTTTAGCAGGAGATTTAGCTCCCTCATTATATTTTGCTGTAACTGAGATGAAATGAGAGTGCTTTTCCCAAGCATACGCTGACAGCTGATGAGGGAAGGTAGCAGAGCCATGCTGGTGGCCAGGAGCAGTGTACGGGGCTGGGATAACTGACAAAGTGGGCAACAGAGAGGAATGCATGGGAAGGCACAGCAGAATGAGGGGCGCTGCCCTCCGTCTAGTGGGGGCCGGTTTATCCACTGATGAACATTTTGCTCTCTGCAACAGCATTTGAATGCTGTTTAGCACGAACGGCATGTTAAACATGCTGTTACTTCAGCATGAACTAGGCCCTAGCTATCTGAAAAGCATTTTAGAAATGAAAAATGAGAGCGTGGCTTCCATCCTATAGCATTAGCGTCTGCACATACTCCCAAAGCAACACATTGCCCTACTTTTCACACTGAAAGCTGCTTTGGCCTGTTGCCTCATTAAATGGCAAGTGCAGTTTGATTCAGAGCAGCTTAGTGGGTTGCACTACAATCTCACCCACATTTCTCACTGCAGCTGGGTTAGTAGGGCCTAACAGGAAGGGGAGAGCAAGCAAGGAAAATCTCAGTTTTCTCTGAATTCATTCTCCAATTTCCATATAAAATTTTATCTCAAGAGAGGAAGATATTATGTGATAATCAGAACACATAAGTGTCCTCACTTGGCAGATGGGTAATACTGAGCAACTGAAGTATCTTTATTGGATAACTAGAGGTTCTTGAATACAGAATGTGTTTGCTTCCATGAGTTAACTATCTGAAACGGAAATGTGTGCAAACATAGCCTATGGGAAATGCGTCTTAAGAATATCTCAATGTAAAAAAAAAAAAGAAATGTAGCCACTCAACATGTTTTGTTTTTTAAAGCCCACTAATCTAGAGCTGATTTGTCATGAGATTTTCCTGTTCTGAAGGGATAATGAGAGCCCTGGCTCAGTTTCCCATCTTCTGAGATATATCAAAAATCAAAAAACTCTATCGGGTGTCATAAACTGTGGTCATGGTTTCGGGGGGACATGTTGTAAATCACGGTGAGATATTAGTGCACTTATAATAACACCACATTTTTCTTCCTTTAAAATACATGATAACTTAATTGGAGCCTCACTTCATTTAGTAGAAATTAGCTGACTTGAAATGAAGTACACTTCTCTGAGGTGCGTTATAAATTGAATTGGTAGGTAAATGAGCTTGTTCCAATAGTTGAGTTTCCTATGAATATTCACTGAGCATAGTCGATGATTTCCCTTAAGTATATAAAGAATATAAAAAAAATATATAAACTGACTATTCTGAGTTAACTGGGTGAGGCTTTCATTCACTACTGTCATACCTATGTTAAAGAAGTAGCATGTACATAGTAACGATGGCTGTTAAGTGTTAAGTTAACCAGAGATTAGTTTGTGAATTAGAATATTCATTACAGGATTGAACTCTAGTTAATATCAGTGGAGTCTCTATCTGTGAACTTGACATGAAGGTCCTACTTCATGCCTAAGTCATGTATTTTGACCTAACTGTTCATTGGTGGTAATGCTCAGGTGACACCTTTAGGTGTGGCCATGAGCATTGACCATGAGGACAACAGAACAAGGAGTTTAGCAGTGTTGATTCTATGGGAGCTTTCAAGAATTTTTTTTTTTCTACATGAATGCTTTGGTTTATAAGCTGATATAGAGAAAAATAAGAAATAGCACTCAGAGCCAAAGATGTGTCCCCTTTTGTACTATAGAAAGTATTGACATGAAAACTTTACATTTTTAAAGGAATATTATTTTCAGTCTATTTAGTGGACTAATAGAATCTAAAATTGTTTAAAAGCATCTCATTCCGAGACACTTTGCTCTAATGAAAAATACTTCAAGTCCTCCCCAAATATTTTCACTCTAAGGAGTCAGTGTTTTTTTGTTGTTACTATCAAAGAGCCATCTCCATATTACCTTCCCAGCACTGAGAATGTCCAGGCAAGAACTGTGAGGTCAATAGTGTTACTGTTAACAAAAGTTCTTATGTGCATATTCCTGGGTTCTGATCAGTTTCACCTGTCACTATCATCTTCTCTATAGGCCATGTCTACATATCATTTGGACTGTTTGGTGTATAATGAATTATATTGCTCATCTTTACAGTGGAGCAAAAATTATTGACACTGTCCAAATGTTTGACACAGTCAGGTTATCTTAATGACCCAATTAACTAAATGCATCTAATTATTTTAGACATTAATGAATCCAATTAACCCTTGGTGATGCAATATATTGCTTTTAATGGCCATCTGAAGATCAAGCAGAATTGATTCCAGATAGTTTTCACAACAATCAACTATTTTAAAAGGTTTTGCCATATACGTATCCACTCTGATATGCAGACATGGAGTCAACTAAAGGTTTTACAAAGTGGAGCTCCTTGATGGTTTTATTCACAACTAACAAGTTTTCAATGTGAAATTTGCTTTTCTTTTTCAACAAATCCAGGTCTTGGATGTTCAGGAAACTATAGATCGTCAACAGGGTAAAGAGTATGAACATGACCTTAGTGAGACAGAAAAAGCTATAGTCAGAGAAATGTGCAATGTAAGTTTAATGTGCTTTGTTGTGTATTCTGTGTTGAAAGCCTCATCATAGCTTAGTTATTGCTTTATGAATACCTACTTTTTAAAATGCTGGTCAAATGCTTTTATATTTTTATTTGTAAAGAAAACCCGCTCCCCTTGTTTTTATCTTTAATATATTTTTTGGAGTTTTATTAACACAATAATGTTATATTCAGGTAAGCAATAATTATCCAATTCTATATTCCAAAATGAATTATCCAAATTTCTAAATAATAAATTTATTGTCTAAAATGAATTAGTTTTGATATGGGTTTCTGTTTCATACTTTTAAGAAGTTCCTTAAAGGTCAGTATTTAAAAACCTATGATAAAGAAAACAGACTTCTTCCAATTTATTTGTAATTATACTTGTGGAAATGAAATCATCTTAATAGGTAACACGCTTGGTTCTTCATGCATCTGTGTGTTTCATGTCATGTGAACTAGTATCTTTATCTCTCAGTGGTTGACACAAGCTCAGAAAATAGTAAGAGGAGATAGATATGAACTTAAGAGATAGACACACAGAAATTTATCTATGAAGTCAGAGGAATTAAGTTAAAAAATTGACGCATATCCTATTGTAATCATTAATGTGGTTTGGATTTTATTATTCATCCCTGACTAAATTTTAATTTTTTGAGTAGTATGCTTAGATGTATTACTTAGTCAAGAATAGAGTGGTGAGGCTTATTAAAAAGCTAAATAGAATGAACACATTTGTTAAAAGCAAAAATCATGGCAGATTATATTAAGCTCTGGTTCTAATTGGCTTTATATTTTACTTTTATCCTCATATTCTTTGTCCAGTAGGATATCAAAATTGCTTAGAAATCCCTTTAAGCTATTAGTACCAGGTATTCTCACTTACTTATCAACCTCTTTGAGGTCTTCCTGGAATCCAGTAAATGTTATTACATAGTGAGTCCTGTGGGCATTTTATATTTGCTGGGAAAAGAGTTTTAGTTTCCTGCTTGCTTGTGTTGTGGCTATTTTTCTTTTGCAAACCTTTCCAAGTTATTTTTTTTTCATTCCTTCATATATGTTTTTGTTTGTTTTCAAAAGGTCATTTTAGATGGCATAATTTCCTAAATGCATCCCTGTTCACCTTCTGTAGCTTTTTAAATTTATTTTTTAATATTAGTTTCAGGTGTACAAAACAATGCACTAGTTATCCTTTTCACCCCTCACAAAGTGACAATCCCCCTCCCCACATCAACTGCCCCCCCAGTCCCGATATCATGCATATCTATTACAATTCCACTGACTCCATTCCCACACTATACTCCACATCCCATGACATAGTATATGTCAACAATATTATAGTTGACATATACTATTATTCAATAGCAGCTTCAGAAATACAGTGTGGTGGTCAGGCCTCTACACCGCCCATAAGTGTTCTCCCTAACAAGACAATGAGTCCATCTGGCCCTCTAAAAAATATTTACAACATGATTGATTATATTATCCAAACTTTCCTTTCTATCTCTGAAGCAATATTGTAGTTACCAATTTATGTTGTCTTGTCCCTTCCCCTTCTCCCTCACCCCCACCCCCGTCCCATCTAGCTGATGATTGCTTCTGTAGCTTTTCGATGTGAATATTTCCCTCAGATAAATTTAAAAATTTGAGCCACACATCTAAGAATGCTTGCCTGTTGCTTCTCACCTGTTGACTATGGAATGGGAAAGTTCAGACATTAGGAACTGGAGAACTAACAGGGCTCACCCCCAGCGGGTCTCCAAGGAGTTGTAAGCAGAGCTCCTTCGTAATTCAGAGTTTTACTGTAGACCATGGGCGATGTGTATAGGAACTACTGGGTAAGACCCCACACTCGCAGTTTATGTTTGAAGAACATAACATTCTGAAATAAGTTAATGACTGAAATTAAGTGATTTGTTCATTGTTCAAACTGTTCTCTAATGAACAGTGAAGTTAGCAGGAGTATACCCAGATCTCCCATAAGGACTAGCTCTTGCCACTTTCCCAAGTGTGGTAAACCTGGGAGCTTCCATTCTTCTTCCTGAAGAATGAAAAGCTATGCATCTTACAAAGGGGACACTCTCCATTGTGCCTAACGCCGGAATTTCTGTAAAGAAATGCCAGGATTGTCTTTTTTTTTTTTTAATGATTTCTAGACATTAGAAAGTTTGTTTCTTAATCACAGAAGAGAACCACTAATGAATTGGCCCTTGGTTAGTTCATTTTGATCTTTTTGTTTGCATTTTCATGAAACCAAAAACTTGTCCTAGAGAACATTTAAAGGTAAACAAGGACACCTTTTCCATATATCCACTTTTGTCTTTGATCCCCAAAATTTGAGAAAAAATACAAGCCAGCCCAAATATGATAATTAGCACTCTTATATTTGGAAACTATTTAAAAACCAAGAGAAAAAGTGTTGATCTAAAATATTTGTCACCATTATAAATTATATGAACACTGAAAACAGTGAATGCTGGAGAATAGATACGTAATTTCTTACAATGTTAGCTAGTTTCTGAAACCTATTACAGAAACTGTGCTTTTATCATAATATCACAGAAATATAAAGCTTTTTCATAATGTGAGATCTGTTATAAAACTCAGCTAGAACTTAATAGAAGTTTTGCCTCAGTTTCTGGTATTCCTCCTGAAGATAAGTTGTTGACATCTACACAATGAAAAGTGTTATTCACAGCACTGCCATGTTGATTAGTAAGCATGGAGTGCTTTTATTCTCTCTCCACACTGTGCCACAGAAATATACTGCCCTCTAAGAAATAGTAAATCTTGTAGTAATGGTTTTACCCTAGGTTTGTCTGTTTCACTCTTACAAATTCCCTGAGAACAGTTGAAATCTTGACTGGTTATCTAGGCCACAATCTCAGACACCGACCTGTTCTGCTCTTAACAGGTTACTACTCTGTGTTCATGGTAGCGTCATTGGCTTATTTCAGACTTCAGCCTTCTCTTGCGTTTCCTCTCACCACAGAGTATTCTCAGGGTTAAGGCCCATTGCTGTCTACATTTGAATACTTGAGAGGGTTGCACTTTTGAGTTGTAACCATGTCATGCTTTGTGTCTATGATCCTTTGAGGTCTTTCTATCCATAGCTTCTAAACTAGATGTTTAAAGCATTCTGGGTAAATGTAATTGTATATGTCCCCTGGCTTCCTGATTTGGTGTTTGTACCTCTTCTCAGTCAAGAAATGAGACTCCCCTTCTCCCTTCTGTACAGCTTGAGCCACCCATTGCTAAATCATTTCTCTCCAAATAGTTAAGGACCATAACTACAACTCCCTTCAAATATGACAAGACATTTCTATAACTTGGTAGTGTCTCCTTAAGCATACAGACTAATAGTTACATTGACTTATGGATACGTAGACAGAACCTTATATTCTTACTGGGTTTCCATAGAGTATCTACTTTAAAGGAAAAACGAACAAAAGAAACAGTCTATGAACAATTGTTGAACCAACTGGTTTTGTGTTCATGTTAGAGCCATGTCAATTTTTGTGAAATTAATCAATCTGAACATAATCCTTATAGTGAAACACTCTAGGAGGCTTATGACTGTTACCGTGTGTGTGTGTGTGCACATGAATGGCTTCCAATTAATGTTAAGTATATCATTGAATTCAGTTGTTTTACTCTACACTTACATTATTCTTATACTAAGAATATAAATGTAAAGTAAAACTGAGTTATTTATATTTGTATTATTTATATATTATAACACCTTTGCTGTTGTCCCTCTAATGTGGCCCAATTTTTAACACATTGTATCTATATCTATTTCAGTGATTCTTGATTTTGTTATCTTCTCCCTGCATTTGGATGCTTTCTGTTTTGCTAATCCGAGCAATCATATACTGTTTGGTAGCTAAGACTTAAGATGACTGAGGGCCTCACTCTGCAGGGAAAACCAGGGGAATTTATTAGTGGCCCTAAAGCTATCAGCTCAGGACTTAAATAGCTCGAGATCAAAGACTTTCCTTAGTGGTTTAAACACTTGGATATCCCTGTTATAGTTGTATAATATAGGAACCAGGATGATTTTGCTTAGGGATTCTTAATTCCAGCTACACACCAGAATCACACTGGGAGCTTTTAAGAAATACAGATGCCTGCGCTTCATCCTCACTAATGCAGTCAGTCTCCAAAGGGGGCAGTTCCTATATAAGGGTCCTCCAAGTGCTCGAGTTGAGTGATCACTCATATAACTACAGTAAGTTGGCACATCATTCTTTACTTTTGACCGTGGTCCCATCTACTGAGCAGTTCTGGTGATTTAGAAGCTTGCATCACGTTTTGTTTGTGTTTGATCTCGTTCATGTGGATATTTTGTCTCTTGTCTTTACATTCCTCTTTGCCCTTCTCATAGATTTCCCCTTCAGGAAACACCCATCTTTTTTGTGGTAGGGGACAATTAAGTTTTGTTTTTTTTTTTTTGAAGGTTGTGTGGAGGAAACTTGGAGATGCTGCAGGTTCGTGTCCTGGAATTAGGCAGCATTTGTCTGGAAACCAGTACAAAGGACCAATGTGAGAAACTCTCTCTTACACATGAGATCTACTGCCAGAGAGAGGGAAAAGAAGAGAAGAGTGGGTTTCCACAAATCTGAACTCATGGAGTGATTGTACCTTGCACATATTTTCATTTAGTGTAACTAAAGCTGTATTTTATGTCTCTCGCTTTGATGTCCACTACAGTCAATTTCGAACAAGGTAGCTTTGAAAATCGCTATTTGGGTACCAATATTTTCATTAGAACTGAAATGTTTTTGACTCCTCAGATCTAAGCTTATAATTGGGAAACATGCATCATTGGAAAAGTCCAGTAGAGCCTCAGTGGTTTTGATAGAGTTGACTTTAATGGTGGGAGTTTTATATCATGTTGTATTGAAGATGGGAAGCTAAAAGACACTGCTCCTTAAGAATTGAATATGTCTTTCTTATATTTTAGTCAATAAAATACTAGTTCCTGATACATAATTTGATGCAAGATAAGATTAGGTTTCTGGGGTTTTGTTTTGAGGTGCTAAAATACCATATAAATTCTCCTTAGCACATAGTAGCAAGACTTTGTAAAGTGCTTATCAGAGAGTACCATTTATTTCAAAGGATCAAATATCTTTTCTTTTAATCTTGTTATTCATGAAGACACCTTGGGGACATGTCAACCTCTATTCATTCACTGTATCCATTGATGTTAATATTAACAATTTCAATTAAAAAATAAGTAGTTTTTCTAAGTGTTTTTGACTGTGAGATGTCTATTTCTACAATTTAGTTTCTAGACATGCTGTTATATTTAATAAACTTCATGTAAACTTTAAGATATTGCACTGCATTTATGAAAAAAGCTTTCTTTGTCTACGCAACTATCTAATGGTTTATGAAACTGACGCATGTCCTTCATTGAGGCTAAAATCTTTGTTCAGACTGCTTGAGGTTTGAAAAAGAGGTGTGCTAGCTTTGCTTAGTTGATTTCATATTTTTGGTATATATATTAGACTGTGTGTATTGGAAATGCTATGATAGGTATTTTGTGTTTATTCAAATGCAATGATAGTTTCTTGTATGAATGTGCAAGAGGCCTGTGACAGAATGCTAAGTTTTTACTGTAGTTTATAAAAGTAGGAATGCAACAATTCCTAGTTTTCAGATTTCTAAATTACTCAGATTTGATTCATAGCAGATACTCCCTGTTGTTTTTAAATGGGCTCATTACATTGTGTATTAATTGCCATTTGTGAAGGAATTTCATTATACTTTTTACAAACGTTATTGTGATGAAAAGTCAGCCCTCTGCTTTCAGAAAATATTTATGAGTTAATTTACTATAGAATAATCTCTCTAATTATTGTAATTGCGTTACCATTTAAGCCAATCTTTCTTTGAAAATGTTATATATTTTTAAAATATTAACTACTACTCTGTAAAAGAAAATTGCTTGCTATATTTACACCTCTTGTTAGAAAAGCTTTCGTCTTTAAATTGTTGTATTCCTACACTCTGAAGACATTCAAAATAAGCTTTTGTGCCTGCAGTAAAGCCTGCAGAAGCTAATACAAGAAACACTGGTCTTTTGACAAAATACTTGTGTAAATTTTGATACTGTATTAAAACTATTTTTTTAAAGTTCCATATAAAATTGATTATCAAGTATATGTGTTCATCTTAGCAATGGTAATAAATTATTTAATCTCAGTGTTTCTTTCTTCAAAATGTTTATCCTAAATTGAGATTGCTAATAGTCACTAAATATCATAATACTCCTGTATGATGATAATGATAGTAATACAGATGACATATTATCTTAACTATAACACAAAGGCATGTTTTGAGTATGCTTATAAGGGATTTAACATTTAGAGATTCAATTCACACCATACTCTATTATAATGTCAAAATTTTAGTGTATTTAACAATATTTTAAAATTAGTTTGTTATAAAATCATTTCTTCTCATGAATATTAAAATTATTTCAAAATCATCAGAGGAAATTTACTAGAGGGGAAATACTAAAGAAATGAAAAGAAGCTTATATATTAATGGCGGAAGATATACATATATAACCAAGTCATAAATTGAAAAACACATGCATGATCAGAGAACACACATACTTCTTGGAAATCACTAGTAAGGTGGTGGAATATGGCATCCTACACTTAGCATTAGCCCCAACATTGAATGACACAGTAGAAGGACAGCCCAGGGCCTGAATCTTGCTATTGCCTACTATATGTATCAAAATGAGAGGCACTGTTCTCCTATGTGACCCGTTTATTAGTTTATGATCTTATTTTCCCTAGAACAAAAGTTAATTTACATATTTTGGCAGAATATTCTTTCCAGCTTTGAAGCCGGTAAACATCAGAAACTAAGCTTTTAAAATGAATGTCTTAAGAAACAGTAGAAAATTTAGATCATCGTATGTGACATCCAGTAAAATGCTGACAGTTGATTGGGGTGACTATGATTTAGTTCAGTGAACTTTTAATGAATGCTTACCACTACCATATGAGTAAACACAGTTTTGATTCCTAACTCATGGTGCTGACTGCTCTCAGGAAAAACATGGAGTAGTATCTTGGATGCCAGCTGGAGCTTTCCTTATCCTTGGGATCTAGATAAGATTACCTTAAACTTCCATTTTCATAATGTAAGGAAGCAATAAGTTTCCTAATGATTTCTTCTAATTTCCAGAGTTTTCGCTCTGTGCTATGCTTCCTGTTGCCTCATCCCCGCTCCATCCCCAAAGCAAACTGATTCTCCATTAGAAATCTTGTCATCCATTCCTGGAAAGGATCTGCCCACCTTAGGGGTTTACCAAGGCAGGCAGATTACCTACAAGCACGAGCCACCTCTATGAGGAATTCATATATTGACTTCAAAAAGGTGCATTCCAGACCTCAGCATCACAGAGGAGTAAGGAGACTTTCTCCCCATAAATTTACATCAAGTCCTTCAGCTATAACTCAGCAAAGGATCCTCTGCTTAACACAAACATACCTGAATGAGCCACACATCAGAACATCTGAAGGTGGGCAGACTGAAGTGAGTAGGGGATGCAGGATAGGGGTGCTAAGGACAAGGATGGTTGCCACGTATGCATTTCAGTGCCCATTGAGGCTCCATTGAGTGTAATAGCAGGGGTGCGAGTTGGGCTACAGCTACCACACTATGGCCTGGATTGTAAGAAGGGCAGGAGCAAGACCCCGAATAGCCACGACAATCTTGAGAAATAAGAACAAAGTCGGGGGGATGACACTTCCAGACATTAGAACGTACTACAAGGCCACAGTAATCAAAGCAATATGGTACTGGCATAAAAATAGGCATATAGATCAATTGAACAGAATAGAGAGCCCAGAATTAAATCCAGGCATATATGGGCAGTTAGTCTATGACAAGGGAAGCAAGAAGTTACATTGGGGTAAGGATACTCTATTTAATAAATGGTGCTGGGAAAATTGGACTGACACATGCAAACAAAATGAAACTGGACCACCTCCTTATGCCATATACAAGAACAAACTCAAAATGGATTAAAGACTTAAATGTAAGACCTGAGACCATAAAACTAGAAGAAAATATAGGGTCTAAGTTTGCAGACATTACCCTGAGCAATATTTTCACTGATACATCCCTGGGCTAGGGAAGTAAAAGAAAAAATGAACATATGGGACATCAAACTTAAAAGCTTTTTTCACAACAAAAGAAACCAATAAAACAAAAATGAAGCCTACTGAATGGGAGAAGATATTTGTCAATGATATATCTGATAAGGGATTATATCCCAAATATATAAAATGCTCATGCAACTCAACACCAAAAAAACAACCCAATTAAAAAATGGGCAGAGGATATGAAGAGACATTTCTCCAAAGAGGGCATACCGATGTCCAACAGGCATATGAAAAAATGCTCAACCTCACTTAGCATTAGGGAAATGCAAATAAAAACCACA